CATCATAGTTGACGATCACAGTGAAAACATTCAATAGTAAGAGTCGATATTGTACCTTTGAAGGAGTTTTTATAAGGAGTAGAAAATTATAGGGAAGAGAAAAAGTTGGTAAGAAACAACAATTAGTTTATGTTAGCTTTACAAAATCGATCACAATAAACAAACAAAGGACGTTGCGGCGATTAGCCTTCATCAGCACATAAAGGACAACACAGTACACATACACAAATAGGCTCCAACTGTGAAGTGACTACATAGGACGCTAATGTATAGAATAAATGATACTCATCTAGTGTCCCTGGCGAAAAAAAACTTCGTTCAAAGAAAAGACGGTAAGCCTAATATTATCAAGCAAGCATAAGCTTTGACTAAGAATATAAAATGATGTAACATGATAACTTGACTGGGTTCAACACTAAAGAACTGGCATATAGTGAGATACATGGGATTCTCAAAGCATCAGGTACATATAATTCAATCTCTTTACCATAAACAACAAGCAGCACTCAGAGTAACTGGTGCAATTTGTGAAAAGGCATGTGAGATTCATGGTTACTAAGTCGTCCCCTTATGGGATTCAATTTTTCGTTATTTGAAGCCCCACCCTGGCTTTTGCCGGGGGTCCTAAATATAGCTGGGCCATAATTGTGGCCATAACGGCTGAAAGGGGTTTCCGGGACCTCTCCATGGGTGATCGGCAATGTGGCACTTTGTGTCATCGGGTGATTATCGCTTGTGTGATGTCCTGGTTGAGTACAGCATTCAAGCAAGCAAGAGGTATGTGACAGCTTTGAGCCACTCAGTGTTGGAGGTAGACCTTACAACTCAGATATGCAGACACAGTTGTCCTTTCGAACAGTGTACAAGGCTTAGACAATTTATTTTGACTGCCAAAAAGCAAGGCGAAGAAGATCATCTTTTTCTGAAACTAAAAGAAATCTAAACTGATGTCCACAATGAATGCAGCACACCAACCGACAAAAAAAAAAAAAAAAAAAAGATTAAGAATGTCACAGACTTTGATTATTTAGGCTCAGTAATGGCTACTAAAAAAATTTTTTTTTTAAAGTCTTGCTTTAGCAATGCAACGGCTAAACAACAAGAAAAACCTATCACCAAGCACCTACAATCAGTAACGACTTTGAAATCATGCATCTTTCCGTGAACTTATGTGAGTCAGCATTTGAAGAGGAAAAACAGACCTTTTGAACTGAAATACTACAAAAACATTCTTCAAATATCCTGGACTAAGAAAAAGAAAAACCGGACATCCTGCGCGAGCATAACATCAAGGAGAACTGGCTGTAAACTGCTTCCTCTGACCAACAACTGAAGTATTTGGAAACTGTCCAGCGCCATGGTGGTCTGGAGAGAACGGTGATGGAAGGTGCAGTTTCTGGAAAGCATTGCAGAGGCCCACCACAGCCATTGTGGAGACAGGACATTGAGGATGTACTGGCTAAGAAAGCACGCAGGGCTGAAGAATAAGCTAGAGAAAGACTTTTAGGAGTGCCGTGAAGGGAACGACGTTGTGCATTGCTGATTGACTGATTGATTGACTGATTGATTGAACGAGAGCAGAGCTAGAAAAATAAAAACCGGATTGTTAAGGATTATCGCCGAGGAAGATAATGAAATATTTCATATTGACTAATTGATTGGAGCAGCGAGAGATCGGAGGCAAGAGATCGGAGTGAAGCTCATAGCTGGACAGATGAGTAGGTCTAAGACAATCAGTGTTAAACCACGCTTTTCCGCGCAAGAATTGTGAGCTGTGTTGGAACTAGAAGACCTGAACCCCTTGAGGGCCCCATAAATTCTCTAAAGGGGTTGGGGTGGGGGGGGGGGCTGATATTCTTAGGTTTGAGGTTTTGAACAACGGATCAACATCAAGGTTTACGGGTAGTTACCCATGAGTGCTCCGTTATTCTTCTAGCTCAAGTCTGAGTCGGAATAAGCACAGCACAGTGCACTGGCTCTGTAACACCGGCGAGGATCCTGAAATACTTTGGGTAGAATTTTAACTTCAAATTTTGCCCGGGCAGCGCCGTTAGACTACTCTTTTCCATTTCCAACTGCCAAGGGACTTTTTGCGTGCGCAACAATGCACATGGAAGTCCGATCTAATTACCCAGAGACCAGGGGAATTACTAGAAGTCCCCAAGTCCACATGAAAAAATCCTAGCTCTTACCGAGGATTGAACCCGGAACCTCTAGCACTCGAGGCGGACACCATGCATCGAGGCGACGCAGCCCCTCTGAAATCCCTAGAAAATTTGTAAAAGCAGTTTAAAAAAAAAAAAAAAAACGCACAAAAAGAAGCGAAGGTGGTCATTGTAGCTCTATCTTTTTGTTTGTTTGGAAAATTAATTCAATAAGGCAATGACGTTTAATCTGTGCTCTAAAAAGTTCATATTTGTGGCCTGGATGGATAACACCCACAAGTTGTCAGAACTGCATGAGGTGAAGTGATTCTACTGTCGCTGCCGTGTCGGCCTGTATAGAAATTCAACAGCCGACTGTATACGACAACGGCTGATGGGATCAAATAAGTATCCATACTCTTTATTGCCTTCAGAATCATGCAGCAAAATCACAAAGGCGGGTCACAAATATTGTGACTTCGGTGTTGGGGGGAGGGGGAAGGAGGAATTCTGATAATTTCGTAGGCGAATTGTCATAAGCAGGCTGCCATAACATGCTTGTGAAAACAAACATAGAATTAGCATATTTTTAGAAAATTAACAGGAGGTGGCAAAACTGTGTGAGCAATATATTGTGACAATTTATATCAAGTCTAATCTTAAATTTAGAACAATGTCTTCAGAAAATGTAACTATTCTCAAAACTAAACAAATAAAAGCCTCATTCTATCTGTTTAAAAATCACATATAGTAGTTATAGATGAATAATCCATTGCAGATGTTTCAAAGACTCATGGAGATGAATACGATTAAGACGCGATGAAATGTTCACGTGGTCTCCGTCTAATGCTGTACATACAGAATATTCAGCAGTATAAATGTCGTGAAAGCAATACAATAAACAGATACTATAAAATGTAAAGGATCCTTTTCGATGCTTGTCGGCCAATCAGCACTAGGTGGGTGATGTGTTCCGCATCACGGCCGATCGCCTTTACTTCCCATGACTTCACCTGCAAGATCAGCGGTTCTCAGACTGTGTGTTGCGACCCCTTTTTCCCAGGTCGAACGACCCTTTCGCAGGGTTCACCAATGACCACCGCAAAGCACATATTAACTGAAGTTATGAAGTGCCAACGCGAATAATTGTATGGTTGGAGGTAGCCACAACATGAGGAACTGTATTCAATGATTGCGGGTTTGCAAATTAGGAGAGCGGAGATCCTCTGTGCTAGATCGACGTGGGAGCCAAGGTCAATTAAAAAAAAAAAAAATTCCGTCTCAGTTCAGATTAGAACCCACAACCCTCAAATTCGCAGGCGAGCGTTATACTCCATGTATACATTTCAAAATGTTAATAATAAAACTATTCCCAAATTACTTAACTAGGTTAAACTGATTAAATGAAAGGCTTTCAACATTTAAATAGATCATTTATACTGAGCGCTTTGAATGTATTTATATATTGTATGCATGTATTTGTACATATTTATTTATCTGAATGCATTTATTTTACTAAATATAATAAATTAGAACGCATAAATGACTGTTAACTGGGTTTGTCAGAACTAGGGTATTTCAAGCTCTTGAGGGGCCACTGGCATGGGCTGAAATCCCTATCCCTAAAACTTGTAAAGGGACTAAAGATCCCCACGCCATGTGTAGAAGCTCCCCGTGTGTGGCCATGTGTAGAAGCTCTCCTTGTGTGGCCATGTGTAGAAGCTCCCCTTGTGTGGCTATGGGTAGAAGCTCCCCCTGTGTTTCCATGGGTAGAAGCTCCCCTTGTGTGGCCATGTGTAGAAGCTCCCCTTGTGTGGCTATGGGTAGAAGCTCCCCCTGTGTTTCCATGGGTAGAAGCTCCCCTTGTGTGGCCATGTGTAGAAGCTCCCCTTGTGTGGACATGTGTGTAGAAGCTCCCCTTGTGTGGCCATGTGTGTAGAAGCTCCCCTTGTGTGGACATGTGTGTAGAAGCTCCCCTTGTGTGGACATATGTGTAGAAGCTCCCCTTGTGTGGCCATGTGTAGAAGCTCCCCTTGTGTGTGTAGAAGACATATGCATGGGTATAAGCTCCCCTTGTGTGGACATGTGTAGAAGCTCCCCTTGTGTGGCCATGTGTAGAAACTCCCCAAAAAGGCCATGGGTAGAAGCTACCCTTGTGTGGCCATGTGTAGAAGCTCCCCTTGTGTGGACATGTGTGTAGAAGCTCCCCTTGTGTGGACATATGTATAGAAGCTCCCCTTGTGTGGACATATGTGTAGAAGCTCCCCTTGTGTGGACATATGTGTAGAAGCTACCCTTGTGTGGCCATGTGTAGAAACTCCCCAAAAAGGCCATGGGTAGAAGCTCCCCTTGTGTGGACATATGTATAGAAGCTCCCCTTGTGTGGACATATGTGTAGAAGCTCCCTTTGTGTGGACATATGTGTAGAAGCACCCCTTGTGTGGCCATGTGTAGAAGCTCTATTTTAAGTGTTTTTTTTAAATTTAAAAAATGAATTATATTTAATTTTGCCAGTACGCACATCATTATTATTCTGTACCCTGAAGAGAGCGACGTTATGTAGTGAATCTGCTGACTGAAGATGAAACAAGACTCAAGCCCTTAGAGGGCACCCATCAAAATTATTTCTCCTATCGTCGCGCTTTCTGTTAGCCATAAAGTTAGCTCAGGTGTAGATTTTCGCCTTAGTTGTTTACAAATTGAATTTACAATGACAAAACCTATGTCATTCTTATTACTGGAATATAAAGAGGATCCTATCCTCTTGTGCAGATTTTGGTACGAAATTATTCAGACTTGAGAGACCAGAATCAATATTTTATTGTTTTTGAGAAGGCGATATTGTCCATAATAGTATCACGCAGTTGGTAATTGGATATGGCTACGGGATTTCACCTTGTCCGCTGTATTAATGTGTAAACTTTGTAGCCATCTATTACACTTGTCGATGCTGTCATCAAGTGAAGTATCCTGGAAATAATGATAACAACCGTGGCTAGGAAAGCGTCCATTGATGTGTACCGATGAACCATCCTCTACCTCGCTATTGTTATCATCTAGCAGCTGTTGGCTAAAATCTCCGACAGGGAAATTGCTGTTGCTGCAG